ACCCTTGACGCCTATAGCAGTGACTGCACAGAGCAGATGGTTCAATAAACATTGGATGGAAGAGTAAGACCACAGTTCAGTGTTTCCTTGACTTTTGGATTTCATGAACATGAAATTTATCATAATATCAGGACAATAGAAAAGGAAAGCCAAAATTTCGGGATCCTTCCCAAGAAAAGTTGGCAGCCTCACAATGTTTTTTCTCTATACCTATATGTGTATATGTGCATAATTGCCCTTTTTTTTTTTTTTTTTGAGAAGGGAAATTTTATTTTATTTATTTTATGTTTGGCTGAGTTGGGTCTTCATTGCTGCACTCAGCCGGCTGGGCTGCTCTTTGTTGCAGTGCCCGGGCTTCTCCTTGCAGTGGCTTCTCCTTTCGTGGAGCACACGCTCTAGGTGCTCGGCCTCAGTAGTTGTGGCGTGCAGGCTTCAGTAGTTGTTGCTCGTGGGCTCTAGAGCGCATGCTCAGTAGTTGTGGCGCACGGGCTTAGTTGCTCCGCGGCATGTGGGATCTTCCCACATTGGGGATCAAACCCCTGTCCCCTGCATTGGCAGGCAGATTTTTTTAAAAAATAAATTTATTTACTTATTTTTGGCTGTGTTGGGTCTTTGTTGCTGCGCACGGGCTTTTTAGCTGCGGCAAGCGGGGGCTACTCTTCATTGCAGTGCTTTCTTTTGTTGCAGAGCACAGGCTCTAGGAGCGCGGGCTTCAGTAGTTGCAGCACATAGGCTCAGTAGTTGTGGCTCACGGGCTCTGGAGTACAGGCTCAGTAGTTGTGGCACACGGACTTAGTTGCTCCGCAGCACGTGGGATTTTCCTGGACCAGGGCTCGAACCAGTGTCCCCTGCATTGGCAGGCGGATTCTCAACCACTGCACCACCAGGGAACTCCTGTCCTTATTTTTTAAATTTCTCCACAGATCGGTGAAAAGTTTGTCACTGGACTGTATAATCTCGAAAGCCCCTCCAGCTCTCAGCTGCTGCCTACCAGGATTTCACTACTCCATGGAGCAAGCACAGGGAGACCTGTTCCTTTATTCACTCATCCCACAATTTCTGCTCCCACTATGTGCAAGGTACTGTGCTAAATGTTTCATCAGAATACAAAGATTATGTTCCTTTGCATGAAATATAAGAAATGAATAAATGTTGACTTAATTGCACACAGGACAGGAATTTTTTCCAGGTTAAAAAAAAAAATACCACCAGCCCTTTGAAAGATTGATTAGGAAGACAGGGAAAAGCACAAACAACGTGTTAAGAAAAAAAGACAGTTGGCTATCATTCGGAAAAAAATAAAGGTCTGTTCTTATCTGACATCTGACAGGAAAGTAAATTCTGAATGAATTAAAGCTCTGCAAGGGAAAAACCCTATGGGATTAGAAGAAAAATATATAGAAAAATGTTTAGAGTCTTGGAGAAGGAAGACATAAGGCCCAGAAGCCATGAGATATAAGACAGATATATAACTACCTAAAATTTTCAGTCTCTAAATGGTAAAGGAAAAGACAAGCATCAACAGGGGAAAATATATGTACCCTTTATGATAAAGGGTTAATCTCCCTAATGTATAGAGAGTTCTTAAATCAACAAGAAAAAGACAAACACCCCAAGAAGAAGAAAAAAAAAAAGCATTCAGTCATTCAAGAAATGTACGACATGCCAGGTATGTCCTAGGTATTGGGAATTTAGTAGTGAATAAATAAAAGACAAAAATCTCTGCCTTCGAAGCATTGACGTTTTAGTGAGGGGAGTTAGACATTAAATAAGGTAAATAAGTAAACTAAATGGTACATCAGATGGTGATAAATTCCGACAGGGGAAAATAAAACAGGAGTGGGCAGCGGGAGGGGCTGCAATTTTACATAGGGGGTCAGGAAAACTGCTCTGAGGAGATGTCTAAGCAAACACCTGAAGGAGGTAAGACAGCAAAGCTTATAAGCAGGCCCTTCAAAGAAGAAGTGAGACTTCCCTGGTGGCGCAGTGGGTAAGAAGCCGCCTGTCAATGCTAGGGGACACGGGTTTGAGCCCTGGTCCGGGAAGATCCCCCATGCAGCGGAGCAACTAAGCCTGTGCGCCACAATTACAGAGCCTGCGCTCTAGAGCCCACGAGCCACAACTACTGAGCCTGCGTGCCACAACTACTGAAGCCTGCGTGCCTAGAGTCTATGCTCCACAACAAGAAAAGCCACTGCAATGAGAAGCCCGCGCACCGCAACGAAGAGTAGCCCCCGCTCGTCACAACTAGAGAAAGCCCGCGTGCAGCAACGAAGACGCGACACAGCCAAAAATAAATATTTTTAAAAAGAAGAAATAAAAATGTCTCGCTAGAACCTGAAATAACAATAAATTGGACTAATACTCAGAGGAATATGAATTGAACAACCCTACTGTGCCTCTTGGTCTGGGATAAGTCATCAGTATTTATTGCACCCACCATCACTAGGTTGTAGAGAAACAGACCTCTCTCAAACAGCTTTAAAGAGAGTTAACCTGTACAGACTTCTCACAGAGCAATTTAACAAGCACCAATACAAATTTTGTAACTTTATATATTGAAATATTATAGGATCTCCTCAGTGGTTTTTTTTTATTTTTCTTCTTCTTTTTTTTTTTTGGCTGTGCTGCGCGGCTTGCAGGATCTTAGTTCCCCAATCAAGGATCGAACTCGGGTCAGCAGTGAAAGCATGGAGTCCTAACCCATGCACCGCCAGGGAATTCCGCTGGTTTCTTTTTTTTCTTCTTTTTTTTTGCGGTACGCGGGCCTCTCACTGTTGTGGCCTCTCCCGTTGCGGAGCGCAGACTCCGGACGCGCAGGCTCAGCGGCCATAGGCACACGGGCCCACCTGCTCCGCGGCATGTGGGATCTTCCCGGACCGGGGCACGAACCCGTGTCCCCTGCATCGGCAGGCGGACTCTCAACCACTGCGCCACCAGGGAAGCCCCCTATTATTTATTTTTAATTGCTTTTCTTGATCTCGTATCCAGAAATCTTGCTAAACTCAATCATTAGTTTGAGGACTTCACTGCCGCGGAGCAGCTAAGCCTGTGTGCCACTACTGCTGAGCCTGCGCTCTAGAGCCCGCGTGCCACAATTACTGAAGCCCGTGTGCCTAGAGCCTGTGCTCTGCAATAAAGAGAAGCCACCGCAATGAGAAGCCTGCGCACGGCAAATTTATAAAAAAACAAACAAACCAAAAAAACGAATTCAGTTTATTCTGTGTTTATTCTGTTGAAAATTGTGTTAAAATTTTTGCATCTATATTCACAAGGGATATTGGTCTATAGTTTTATATTCTTGTCATGTCTTTGTCTATCTTTGGTATCAGGGTAATGATGGCCTCATAAAATGGGTAGGAATGTCTTCCCTCCCCTTCAATTTTATGGAACTTGTGTAGAATTGGTATTTTTTGGTATATTTACCCCTTAAGTGTCTGGTAGAATTTATGAGAGATTTTTTTTTTCATTTTTTAAAAATTTATTTTATTGAAGTGTAGTTGATTTACAATGTTGTGTTAATTTCTGGTGTACAGCAAAGTGATTCAGTTACACACACATATATACACATATACATTCTTTTTCGTATTTTTTTTACAGTGACAATCTTTTTTTTTTTTTTTCCGGTACGCGGGCCTCTCACTGTTGTGGCCTCTCCTATGTCCCCTGCATTGGCAGGCGGACTCTCAACCACTGTGCCACCAGGGAAGCCCTCATATTCTTTTTTTAATGTTTATTTTTTATTTTTTCTTATTAGTCATCCATTTTATACACATCAGTGTACACATGTCAATCCCAATCGCCCAATTCATCCCACCACTACCTCTACCCCACCGCCGCTTTCCCCCCTTGGTGTCCATACATTTGTTCTCTACATCTGTGTCTCAATTTCTGCTCTTCAAACCAGTTCATCTGTACCATTTTCTAGGTTCCACATATATGCATTAATATATGATATTTGTTTTTCTCTTTCTGACTTACTTCACTCTGTATGACAGTCTCTAGATCCATCCACGTCTCTAGAAATGACCCAATTTTGTTCCTTTTTATGGCTGAGTAATATTCCATTGTATATATGTACCACATCTTCTTTATCCATTCGTCTGTCGATGGGCATTTAGGTTGCTTCCATGTCCTGGCTATTGTAAAGAGTGCTGCAATGAACATTGGGGTGCATGTATCTTTTTGAATTATGGATTTCTCTGGGTATATGCCCAGTAGTAGGATTGCTGGGTCATATGGTAGTTCTATTTTTAGTTTTTTAGGGAAACACCATACTGTTCTCCATAGTGGCTGTATCAATTTACATGCCCACCAACAGTGCAAGAGGGTTCCCTTTTCTCCACACCCTCTCCAGCATTTGTTGCTTGTAGATTTTCTGATGATGCCCATTCTAACTGGTTTGATGTGATACCTCATTGTAGTTTTGTTTTGCATTTCTCTAATAATTAGTGATGTTGAGCAGCTTTTCATGTGCTTCTTGGTCATCTGTATGTCTTCTTTGGAGAAATGTCTATTTAGGTCTTCTGCCTAAATTTGTCAACCAAATTCCACCAATAAGAAGATTGT